AGGTTCTTCACTTAAGAATTCTGGAAAAACATTTAAGGCATCCTTCATCTCTTTCACATTAATACTTTCTCCAAGTAATTCAGGAAATTGATGTGGAGTTGATAGAGCCTTGGGTAATCTTTCACATAATCTCCACTTTTTGGACTTTTATTTCAATTCTACTTTGTCCAATACATTATCAAGCTAAGGCCCTTGTTATCTGACTTGTACTGTTTTTGCTAATAGCACTTGAGTATGAAATGCCCATTTTGATAAATAAATCTATAAAGATGGTCTTTTTCATGTTTAATGTCGCATATAGAACATTCTTTAACAAATTGTGCTTGAAAGTTGATGAATTCATTCTCGATTCTTCCATTCTGGAGCCACCCATATTTTGCAATAACCTATTAGCTCCTTTAATCAAGTCATTTTCATCATTGATAGGTTGGGATTCTTCTTTTACTAGCTCCTTAGAAGAAAAGGTTTGTGACCAGATCACAGAATAATTCTTTTTAGGCTGAACCAGATAATCATCTGGATTTTTAAATCCATTTTTAACTGAAGAAATAGTAGGTTTTTAATACAATCTGCCTTTGCTGATCTGAGAAGCCAAAGGTTGAAATATGTTTTGGGAAGGCCATTATCAATAAATTTGGAATAAGATTCTCTGAATAATTCTATAATCTTTTCTGTGAATCCCTTAAGTTCTCTATAATCTATGAATCGGGCACGAGGATAAATAATATGCCAACTACGTTTCTCAGCATTTGATGAACTAGCTAAGGCAAAAGAATTTAAGAAAGATATACAATTGGGAATAAGTCTTAATGCATCTGTACAAGCAACTAAAATTCGAGATAGCAAATCTTCTATATAATTTTTTTACTATCTAAGGAAGGCAATTTAGGATTTGTAGGATCAGGCTTTTGCCTTGTATCAATATTGATAATTAAGCGAAGGGCTGGTACCATCAATACATTCAAACTTCACTAGGATAATCGATCATTGTATAACCTTTTCCTGCCATTCGAATTATATATTGAGAATGAATCTCTTCAGGTCGATATGCATCTAAAAGTGTAGTATCATTTTTTTCAGTATGGCCATTAGATGCAAACCAATATTTATAAAATGTACTCTATGGCCAGGTTTATAATCAAGATCAGTTAAACCCATAAAAAGCAGTTTTGCTTCATTGTATTCAGCTAACTTTTGATTTAAGCATTGTTTTTGTAGGCTCAAAGAGCTATTGCTCGGCAATAATGATTCACAAAATCATTTTTTGCTTCACTAGATAAATTCATTTATAGATTTGTACATGTGTTATTTGTATATACGTGTTGTTTGATCTGACAAAAAGTATATGTTTTTGAAATCATAATAATTGATAGATAAATCTTTAAAATAAAATTAATTATTCCGAAGTGGAATTTTTGATCTCAGGTTTGTTATCACTTTTGTCAAGAAAAAATATAAATTTGATTGAAGCAATTATTATAAATAATCACGATGATATTATAGCATTGCTCATATATTCATAAAACTGGAAAATTCTGTGGTAGATGTAATAAATCAGAAAGATGTTATATTCATCGTAGTTCTCTAATACCTACTCCTTGTAGAGATTGTGGTGAGCCAAATAGGTCTAAATATAATGCATGCAATAAACAAGTGGGCAAATATAAAAGTAGAGAGAATTATTATCAAAAAAAAGCAGGATGAATTGCGTACAAAAATTGCTATGTTTGAGAGTTATATATCTGACTTATTCGATTCTATGCACGAAGTATAATCACATACCTGGCATATGTGTATATTAATTATTTTTCCAGGACCTCTTTAAGCAATGCTATATCCTCTTTGGAACCTTCTATATTTTTGGTTATCCTATTACATAAAGCTATGGATTCTAAAACCTTCAATCTATTTCGTGTCTTGTTCACTTCCATTTTCCGACAGAATTACAATTATCACTACCCATTCAATTTTTGGGTATGGATACATTGACTCGAGATAATTAATTTCGATTTGGAAAAATATTATCTATAGTGTATATAACCTAAAGAACTGTTCATAACCTACTCAACCTACTATACCATTAGATCATGTCAGATATCGTAACTAAATTTTTGAAAAATACAATCTCAGCCCCAAGAAGGGTGTGCCCGATCTCAGTAAATATACCTCAGAATTTCTGAAAATCTTACCGATGATAGAAAGGTCGACGACGTCTTCGAGATGGTTTTAAATTTAGCAGTAATCAGGTGAGCATATTGATACCCAACCAGAGAAGTGGGAAAACTAAAACTATAAATATTGCGATTTCCAACAAACCCTCGAAAGGAATAAAGGAAGAATCTATTGGAGATATGGCGCAACGGATTTTACAAGATAAACTTAGCATCAGAGATGTAAGAGCTGAAGCTTATGCCTTAGCCCTATCAGCATCGGATGCCAATGCTGGTTCATCGCATCTCTCTCGTCTTCGTAGAGAATTGAGGAACCTTAATGCATCATCTGAAATAATTGAGGCCCTGATATTACAAAAGAAGCGAACGAGATCGACGTAAAATTGCTGAGATTAATCTAATTGATTATCCAGACCCATTGGTGTCGGTTAAGGAAAGATTAAATGAGTATGATATTAAAACTTTATCCGATTATCAAGCTCTTGCTGATGTTATAATAATGCCTGTATTCATCCCGCTGAGCTTACATCTTTACGCATTACAGATGTTGGCATGATAGACTATGCGAAGAACAGGGGGCAACCAGATATTCCTCGAAAATTTAGATCTATGGAAAAGAATCAAGAAAGAGACAGAGGATTGCTTACTTGAATTCAACGCGCAATATCTTCTGGCCAAATTGGGGATCCAGGAAAACCCGGAACAAAATGGTTGAATAAATTCTTAAAAGAATATGATTTAATTCCTAAATACTTACGAAAAATGGGTGCAGTTTATGGTGTTGTACTACATGAAGCCAAGAATATGGCCCACGCCTATACAATTGCCGGGGAATTCTTAAGACAAAACCCTGACAATTTTACTTCTCCAGATCAAAATTACGTTGTGGTCAATTACAGGCTTCGTGGAGTTAGTGCCGATCAAGCAAGACCATTCCGAATCTATGATAAAGACAAACCACACTTCTTTACTTTCACAGCACGTATATATGTCCCACCTTTATCATAATTATATCATTCAGAGACAGACCCATATGAGGATTCAGAGCTAGATGAGGATTCAGATGTGGTATCATTTAAAATTTTCTTTTTTCTTTTAACCTTGCATGATGTACGATTTATTCGAGGAATATCCGGGTCTGCTATTAATTCTCAAAATAGTTGTCTATCTTCGTCCGTAATTGGGGGCGGATTTCTTTAGGGCCGAATCCTATATACTTTGAAATCTAATCGCGTAATTCATAAGATATTTTTCTTTTCTATAATATGTAATAAAATTCGATTTAATTTGTCTTAATACTAAATTTGGAGCGAGAAAATTGGTAAATATATGTTGAGATGGGACATAATAATCAGTGTAAAACAATAATCCTCAATAAAATGATGTCAAGTGTAAATCCGCATATATAGCGGAGGTCTCTTTATTTTTTTAAAAATTACCGTCTGGCAATTACATTATGTGAATATGCTATTCATACTCATTTTTTATCTAATAATTTAATAAACTATTGTTATCTACCGATGAATTGGTATTAGATACTGTTCTCACGGTTTCGGTAAGAGTTATTCGCGCATCACCTTGCCTTACTTCTTCCCTGCCTGTTTTTAATGAAATAAAGGACTTAGTTGAAAGCTGGCATGGCTAATCTCGACAAATATCACCTCGGCGGATGCATTGATTAAAATAAATATAATTATATGATATGAAGCTTACTTACGTGTTTGAATAGTTTCCACAGTTCCTGATTTAGATTACTTTGGATCGTTAGGATAGTTGATCTTAACAACAAAGCTTTCACTGGTTTTGGAAACACTTCTTTAATTGGTTCTGGAAATGTTACTTTCGTTTGTCTTGGAGGTAGAGACGTCGTTTGGACTTCTCATTTTTTATAAAAAACGATAAGTGGGAATACGTCTTATATTCTTAAATAACGGTACATTGAATAATGGTACATTACTGGAATTAGTCGTAGAAAACGTTATTGGAAACTATTTTACGGGAGGAAAGAGCCTTGTATTTTATAGCATCCAGAACCACTAGATTTATCCCCCAAACCAAGTATTTTTTGTCGTTGTCTTTGGTTAGAATAAACCCCTTGGCCATGCTGGTATATTCGCGCTAATTTCGGCGATCTCGCTTGTAAAGTAAAAAAGTCAATGATATTGATGATCTGGGAAAAGCGGAGTCCTGCACCATGCGAATTTCGATAAAACTACTAATTAGAAATGATAAGATCATCCCCCTTATGGCCCTTTTAAACCCATTACATTTTTTTCTTATCAGGAAGACGGCAAGAAATAGCCATCCTATGTTCGCCTTCCGTAAAAAAATAAGCAACGAAAATCATATCACGTGAATCAAATCCGCAAATCAGAAATCGTCGTAGAAGTTCGTAGAACATGTGATAATCATTATTACGAGATCAATCAATCAAAATCCACTATACGTATCATCATAATTTACAAGCGCCGTGCAAACATATAATTTTCTGGTGGACGTACTTTAAATAACGCGTACGAATGATTGAAAAATAACGTGTGACGATTGAAAAATATGCGGTAAAATAGAAACAAATTACAGAAATGAAATTTATGAATTTTTAAGGAGTAGGTACAGTCGTTGTCATTTCACTAGAACTATATCCACTGTCTCCAGAATCAAAATTATGTAATATTTTATGAATTGTGCATGTAACTGCCATTATTAATGTTAGTAAGGTATGAATGAGCGGATACACAGCGTTTGCTGAAGTTATGTGTAATGGAATTGATGCTTCTTCTATGAGACAATATCTGTAAATACCCAATTCTCTATGCATAGCGTAAAGTTCTATTTTTCGCCTGAAAATTATAAAGTAATAAAATGAAATATAAATGATTTATGGGTATAAAAATAAAAGTAATTTGTACATACCTGCAACGTTAATAGTAAATATAGACAAATCCTGTCTCTTCGATAATTGGTTGAATATCTTTTTGTGCTTTAATACGTTTCTTGTGGTATCAATAGAATCTTTGGAAAAACGTATTAATTTTTTATGATCACGAAGGCGTTTATCTTGAGTGGAATCAGGTCTACCGGTTTCAAGATAAACAATTTTAAGTTTAGCATTTTTTCCCAACTGCGCCACCATCATATAATCAGCCCTTCGTGCAATTTTACGAGAACCTTTTCGTATGGATGAATTTGTGAGTTACTGATTTTGTTTGGTACCCTTACTTGAGTTTCCGGTAAACATTGTATGGCAATAATAACTTTCTTTTGATCGATACGAAAAGAGCAATTAAAAAAATAGTAATCATCTTTACCGAGACAGCTCCAGTCGCCCCATATTCCCAAACGAGTATGTACATCTTTGCATACTTGACATGAAGCTTCTGAGCCAGTATATTTGAAAATATCCCGATACCATGCATTTTATTTGGTATATTTCAAGAAAGGGAATCGTTTCTGTACTGCTTCAATAATCACATCTTTCTCTTCCGGAGATTTAGAAATCTTGATGACACAGTCTTGTGAAAAATGATTATCTGATTTGGGAAGCTTCAGAGCTTAACCAGGGATCGAGTCCAGTTTTTTCCTTATATTTAATATAACTTGGAACGAAGTTTATCAGATATAGTGGTTGGCAAATCAGTTAATTTGGAATACCAATCCAGATATTCGGGGGTTAGTACCTCATCAGACTTGTCTTCTGTATTCATGTTGTCATCTATATAATTTCAAAGCAATTTAATTTCTCGCATTGAGTATTACATACTAAAAATATTATTTCATCTTATTCTTATTGCGTACTAATGATTTATAAAGCATAACGAAATGATAGGACTGCTTCGCATCTAAAGTTTATACAGTAATTTGAATTTCGCGCTGTTCACATTTGATATAGTATGATCCAGTTTCACATTTACCTTCTATGTCTTCTTCATCTTCGTGGTCTAACTTGCATAAAGGACACAGTGTCTCGGCAGTAATTCCGTAATAATCAACATTTTCACTACTTAATTCATAATATAGAACAGGTATTGTTCCAATATTTTGTTGCGGAAATTAACACAGGCATGGGTCAGATTATTCTGTTCTTCGGGTAAGGTCTTTGATTCAGTATGAGATTTGAATGGCACATTTACCTCCGCTTTTAGTAAATCTTTCTTATATTGTGATGCAGATGATATATTTATCTCGGTTTCCAATAAAGCCTTTTGGAGACGGACCGTCCCGGAAATTTCAATTATATAATCTTCAGAAGTGCGAATTCAAGCGAAGGAGAATTAGAGATTTGGCTCTCTGAATCAGGATTAATAATCTCTTGAATTTGATCGTTGGTAAGTTCCGAGATAGAATTTGCACTATAGTTCTTAATATGTCTAATTTTATCCAAACCTATCTTTTCGAATAACTTTAAAGTTTTACAGCTCTTTGAGTTTTTTTGCGCAAGGTATCTCGTGATATATTTGGAGGTTGTAAGTCCAAGTCTTGTGCTCGTTTTTTCTGAAGAATACAGAGTTTATTTTCAATTTCCTTATAAATTAAGGTTCTTGCCTTTTTCTCGCCAATTTTATTTTTACTACTCATCTCACCAACTTGAAATTCAAAATTCCTACCATAAAGAGACCAGCACATGATTTCTTCCTGATTAGCCTTCGAAACTCTTCTGCACCTATGGCTGTATCGCACAACTGAGCTAAATGTTGTAATGCCTTATTAATGTCGAATGAATTAACAATACATTTGGTGGAACCATTTATGTCCTCAAATTTTTCGGGACGGGCCGTCTCAGAAAATTCGATCTGTCCTGGTTTATTATTTTTTGATATAGAGTAATCTTGTGAACTCGGCTCTAAAGAAGTATTGAACAATTCTTGGCGGAGTTTATCTGTTCCCTTTTTCTTGTGGCTAACCAAAGATAGGCCTTGATCTCCAAGCTTCTTCTCCCTATTGCGTTGCTTTATCTCGCCACTAACTCTTTCCTTATTTTTCAGATCCAGAAATTCATCGATCTCTTTATTTTCCGACGATTTAGGCTTGTACGAGTATGTATGAATATTGAAAGAAATATCAGATGATGCTTCGTGGAGAACAGAATATTCTAATACGTGTACGCTATCATTTTATGTCTGCTTCTGTTCCAACTTCATGACTCTGACTCTGAGTTTGACATTTTCAGCAATGAGGTTACTAGTGTCTGTTTTATTTTTCTTTTCTAGCTCCTCGAACCTGGTCTTAAGTTCAGCATTTGCTTCCATAGCTTGTTTCAATTTTATATTCTCGGCTTTGATCTCAGCATTCTACTTTCTAAGCCCGGTAACTTCGGTTACAAGCTTGGAATTCAATTCCTTCAATGAATTAATTTTAAACACTTTATTTGCCATTTATTTCGGGGTAAGATGTACTATATGAGATGGGATCAAGGTAGTATTATTTTTCTCTCTTAAATATACTGTCTTAGTATAACTCATGATGTCGACTCTAACAAAAGAAACTATAATGTACAAGCAAGCATAATTCGAGATTACCGAGATCAGATATATAAATTGGTTAGAGATTTATCGGATGTTCAAAAACATTTAGCTTCTGCATCTTCTTCCTTACCACAGTTCCTTACTGTGACTTGAGATAAGAAATCCTCTACGAAGAAAGCTTTCGTTAATATGAATTCCTGTACCTGGAGAAGGACGTAATCGTAATTCGGAAAATGAGAGCAATACGATGCGACAAATTCCGACTCCAGCTAAAGATCTTAATTTTGCATGAATACGTAATACGTACCCGTGATATTACGTAATATAGATCAAAAGTCGCAAGATCACGAGTAATGCAAATACTAATCTAGACATATACAGTATTTCACTTGGATCAAATCTTTTTGACAGCTAAAAAAAAAATGGTCAAATTTCAACACTTGTCGCTTTGGTGAAATCATTTTCTTCAGGGAAGATTCATTTACCACACAAGCCGTTAAGCGAGACCAGGTGGGTAGGTATCACACTTATTCATTTTGTAAATCGTCTCGTATTGATTTGTAAGGATTGCAGTGTTCCTTATCTGCTTGCCTCAGACATATCCGTGCAAGAATTCAATTCTTTCATCGAAAGTAAAGAACCAAATGGATGCAAATTTGAGTACAACAACCGCTGTGTACAGTATATACTGTATAGTCGACATGTGCTCAGGTGAACATGAAGCTGTTATTGAAGAATTACGAGATTGCTTCCGTGCTCCCTTCCTTGGTACTCGCTCTAGAAATTGTCCTGTCCAAATTCGTGGACAGCCACGTAAGGGAATTCTTCCAGTTTACCTGATCCTTGGCTTATTGATTTCTAATATTTTGCATCATCTTTCCACAGTCCATATGTGACCAGATCGAGACAGGTCCCATATTGCACCGGATCTCGCTATCCTTCCACATTTTGCTTACGTTCCACCGCCTCCCGTTCCCTACCCTGATCCGCCTCCAAGTGACATAAGGGTAATTTGTCATATCTATTTTCATAATACTGATATGGTTATAGGTACTATTGGTGATACTAATATGGTTGATGTAGGGAAACCCTTATGCCAGAATAATTTGTGAGGTAGCTGTGGCCCAAAGCTCCAAAAACTTGAACATCAAGTGCAGGCGATGGAAGCGGGAGGAGTACGTACAAGATGTACTCGGTATCAAACTTTACGATGTAAAGACTACACGCAACAACCCACAAGGAATGTTAGATCGGGCAATGAAGGTATATTTCGCTGTTTCATTATTAGTTAATTTTATATCTTAATAGTTTTCAATATTAGGCTACGCTTTGGCGGTCAGGGGTCGCAAGGCGAAAGGTAAGGTTTACTTGTTGAAAGAACTTCCTACTGCCTGTGATGCTCAAAGTGCATTTTATATAACAGTGGAAATTTGGAACCGTGCAAAAAGACGGGTCTCCTTTTGGCCCTAATGGTTGTAATGTCCCGAAAAACCCAAACTATTTAATAACGATCCCCGTCGGCGATATCTTTTTCGATCCGCCGGTTCCCAATATTGGGTATGTTCCATTAGCACCACCTCCTCCTGCAGTGATGACTGCCAACTTTACTATCGACCTATACGAGGCATGAATGTACTAGCTCTTGTCACCTGCAAATCTAAACCCATACAAGTCTTTTACGATTGGCTAAGAAAAAAATCTCTTTATTAACAGTCATGTTTGCGTGAACAACTATTCACGATCACCGAAACTCCTATGAGAAGTTATCCACAATACTTTGGATTTGTGTGCCCGTCAGATTCGAAATTGTGTTTGCACTATATGTCTGAATTCGTTATAGCGAAATCTTTTTGTGGGATCTGCGGAAAATTAACAATTTCTGGGACGGGGTATTGTCCTAAACACGCAAAGAAAGTTTATTTTCGAAATTGGTATGAGACAAAAGGCGCAGAATGAGAATTATGTAATTCCTGATTTTAAGCATCACAAAAATGGTCTTCGTAATAGAATATTTTTTACAAGTATCAATTTTAAGAGTCACAAAAACCCCCTTTGTAAGATATATTATAGGAACTTATTAAATAAATATATTAACAGATATAAAACATATCCTGAGTGTCTCGTGAGTTATAATTGGATGGTGTTTCTAATTCATCAGATGTAAGCTTACTATATCTATTGAATCTTAAGAAACTGTGTATAGTATCGAGAACCAAATACTTCTTCAAGTAGTGTAATGGCCTTTGCTCTTTGTTCTATTGTTAATTGTTTTTTTTTTTTTTTTTTTTTTTTTTTTTTTTTTTTTTTTTTTTTTTTTTTTTTATTTTTTTTTTTATTTTTTTTTTTTTTTTTTTTTTTTTTTTTTTTTTTTTTTTTTTTTTTTTTTTTTTTTTTTTTTTT